GCAACGAAAAAAAAATCAATCTTTTAGCAACAAAAAAAAAGAAAAAAAAAATCGCTGCTCATATCAGTTGATTTTTATGAAGAGTTTTAAGATTCTATAAGGATATATATTATATACAATGTTCACATATATGTGTAGTAAAGTAAATAATTTAAATTCCTCCAATGTAAATATAAAAAGTGTTTCATAAAGCTCGGCTCAATTTTTTTTTATCAGGAAATTAACTCACTTTTGCATGATATCAATTTAGTGAACCCCTTTAACTACTTAATATGTAGTTAGTACACCCCATTTGCTAATTTTGACTCATTCACTTTTATTTCAATGTTTTACTATACCCATACACAAACATGTTTACTCAATCTCTCATTATTTACAGAGTACAAATGAAAGCTATAGTTTGTTCAACTGCCAGTCATTCATCTGTTGTATCATGGTCCTAAATTGGCCTCGTAGATGTTAAAGTTTTTTACCATATCTTCGGCAACAAAGCGAATTTAATCTCTTTGGTTTGTTATAAAGTCATTTTCAACATTATTTGCCTTGGTCTGAGCTTGATTGCGCATGAAATAGAGATTTAACGTGTGATGATTAATTGGAGGTGTTTGTCTAACTGATTGCCTCGACACATTACTCACGTACATAGACTACTAGATTAAACCATGTGCGATATGATACAAATTGTTGAATAATTATAATGACGATAAATTTTATTGCCATATGGATTATTATTATTAGGAAATTTTGTTAGAAAGGACCTTTTAAGTCCATTTGTTTGTTAAAAAGGACCTTTTAAAACAAAAGTTGTGAAAAGGGTACAATTTTTGACAAAAATTTGTGACTTGGGACCACACGTCGGAATGTCAACGTTGACTGGTCAACTCCGGCGTTGATCAGCACGTGACACTTACGTGACATTTAAAAAAGACCCTTTTCTTTTTTTTTCCACGATCTTCCTCCTTTTCCCTCCAATTTCCCCCAAACTCTTTCTCTCTCCTTTGCAATTCAATTCCAAGAACCCTAATTTTCACTTATCCACAAAATTGGCCCTTATACATTGAAATTATTCTCAAATCGAACCAGATAAGGCAAGTTGGAGTCATTAATTGCTTTCCTAATTGTGTTATTGTTGCGATTTTAGGCTACTGCAATTTTTTCGCGCACCATGCATCTCACTGGAAGAAAGGTAAGAAAATGCAATTGTGGGATGTAAACAGACCCTTAGTCTCTTACCACCCCCACCTTTCAGTCTTACTTAAAATTGATGAATTACAATGGATCAAAACTAGTTTATAAATCAACATATTGACATACCTTTATGAGAGTTGTGACCACTCCATGGTCAAAATTCCTAATCATAATAATAAAAAAAAGTCAAACATCAAAAGTTCAACTTTGTATACATTTTGTGGCTAATAGAGGGGCAAGAGGGCCATTTCACATTCGTAAAAGGCGTGAGAAACGCACACGCTAACCTTTCAAAAAGGGCGGCCCACCGACCTTCTTTCTTCGGCCCAAACCCTTTCCTTCCTTCAAAGGTTTCTCCTACCCTAGAAATTTTTCGCATTTGCCTTCTTCTTTCTTGAACCAAAAGAAAATACCAGAAGAGAGAGAAACTTTAGAGAGAGAAAATTAATGGCGACTTTTAGCGAAGCACCTGCTGGTAACAAGGATACCGGAGCTAAGATCTTCAAGACTAAGTGCGCTCAATGTCACACCGTTGATCAAGGCGCTGGTCACAAACAAGGTCTTTTTCTGATTTTTTTTTTATTCAATTTTTATCGGAATTTGATTAGTTCATATTTTGTTGTTTTTAGGATTATTATGTGGATTTTGGATTTTGGTGAGTGTTGTTGTTTGGATCTATGAATTGTGAGTTAGATCTGTTTTGATTTTGAATTGCTAGTTTCGAGGTTCTGCAATTAATTCATATTTACTGAAATTGATTTAGGTTTAACTTTCTATGAATTTTCGAGGTAGATCGTTGAGAGTTATTGATAATTCAAGATTATGTTTGATTGATTGATTTTAAGCATAGATTAAGTCTGTGAATTGCTTTGGTGTGATTGTAAATTATGCTTTTAAGATGTTTGAATGAGACATTCGTGGAATTAAATTGTAAAGTAGAGGAGGACATTTGTGGAAAGTTTAGCAGTTGCTTTATGTTGACTAAGATGGCATAGGGTTTACTTTTCTTTTGCATAATGATTAGATTAAGACAGTAGAATTCTTGTTTAGAAATTTTGATGGACCAAGAAACATTTACTTAATTCAATTCTTTGTTTACATAATTATAATTGTATTCGAATGACTTCATTTGGAGTAATTTGATATGCAATTTGGGTTTCCATTGTCTAATAATTGTAGTTTGAGATGTGCATATTAATTTTCTGTCCAATGTATCTTATTTTTCAATCTCATCGTGTTTTTGTTGTTACGGTTGTGCAAATATGTCTTAGATTTTCTCGTGGAGTCGTGGAGTTACCTTTCTAGATTACCTATGAATGATTAATTTTCAAGGTTTGAGCTCTATTCTTCCTCAAGGGAAATAGGGTAATGTTATATTGTATTCATTTAATGAATACAGACCAAGTAATAAGTGACTTGCATTCTTTGTTACTCAGCCTCTTTGTTCCAAAATGAGCTATTTAGGACCGGACTTTAGAACCCTTTGATGCAATGTACCATGTTGATGCTTGCTTTGCATAAGCTCAGGAAACACCTGTTGTGATACCAAACATGTCTAGGCTGTATCTCAATTTTAACCAACTGCTTGATATTTGATAATATCTTGTTGATGCGATTGGAATGGGTTGTATCCAGTTGCTTGAATTTCTAGAGAGTTAGTCGATCAATTTTAATTGTATTAGTAGTCTGTAGATATCTCTGTGTGCCTGTTGCCCTTTGATGTGATGACATGATTTTGCTTATACAGTCTATTAATAAGTTTTTGCTGCTTGACCTAATAATTATCTCGTATATGCTGTCATTAGCTGTATTTTTTGAATAGCGTCTGAGATTAATTGGTTGTCACCGTGATGAATTATATCAAGCGTCTCTGATTCTGTTTTGTGTTGAATCAGGTCCAAATCTAAATGGTCTTTTTGGTAGGCAGTCTGGTACAGCTGCTGGGTACTCTTACTCTGCTGCTAACAAGAACAAGGCTGTCGTTTGGAGTGAAGACACACTATATGACTACTTGCTCAACCCCAAGAAGGTTTGTTATCTATCTATAAATTTGTTAAATATGGAATCTTTTAATTTTTCTCTTGTTTTCTAAGGAAACTGGTTCAGCTGTCAAAAATACTCGAAAGCACTTGATATGTTCTCCTGTCATGTGTTTACCTGTCTATGTTTTATGTCATATGGTTTCTACAAAGCTGGCTGTTTTTTTTTTTTTTTTTCTCCCTGTCTTCAGTTGAAAACGTAAAACTGAGATTTAGAAGTTTGGAACTGAAATGCTCTCAGTGTTCTGAAAACAAAGCAACTTGTTCTAATTGAAAAATATGTGAGATACCATGATAAATGGATAACTTGCCTATCTTTCATCAAAAAATGTCTGTCCTTTTTGAGAAAGATTTGGCCTAGAAGCTTATATTATCTTTGGAATCTTCCTCCCTGAAACAGTTATGAAAGCCGAATATTATGTAAAAGAAGCCTTATGAGTTGGATCTTGTTTCATTGATGTAATAAATTTGAACTTTTTGCAATTTTAACTCTCTTAGTTTGCATGATATGATTCTTTCGACCTGAGGAATTTCGTTTTATTCTGAGGCTGTGTTTGTATAATTAAATGTTGTAAAAAACTAGTTGTCATCGTATGTAGTTCAGTGTTGTGTGGTAACTTGTCTCTGTCACAATCTACTTACACCATTTTTAATCATACAGTACATCCCCGGCACAAAGATGGTGTTCCCTGGTTTGAAGAAGCCACAAGATCGTGCTGACCTTATTGCATACCTGAAGGAATCTACCCAGTGATCTGATCGCACCACGTATACTTAATTCCTTTTGTCTAGGAGAGATCGAAGGAGGATTTTGATCAAAAAATGAGTTTTTTTCCTTAGCGAGACCAACTTAGAATTCGTTTTTGCAAATAAGTTTTACCATGATGGGGAAATGTCACCCTCGATTCATATTATACCATGCTGCTACAGCCTGGTTTATTAACAATTGTTTACAGACGACTCACAGACTTGATTTGCTTCTGAAGAAGGGAAGAAATTGGAAAATGTTCCATCTCTTTTGTCACAGAAGCGTGTTAAGGTTTACAAATGGTTTGAATTGTAATCGTTAAGATTTTGTGAAACTTTCAACGATTCATTTCTTTCTTACAGATGCATTCTTGTTATCTTCTTTTGTTCTCCTGTTCTTGTTCTCATAGTATCCTACAGGTTATATAGTCTAGTGTAGGTTCTCGCTTCGTTAATACTTCTCCAGAAGTGAAACAAGGAGCTTCAATTCATTTGTCTTGAATGTGTTTATGCTGACAAATTAATTTTTTAATTTAACAACTGATTTTTTTTCCGGGTCTGTCAAACCATAGTGTCATCCCTGTAGTTGTAAAAAAAACTACCAGAATTTTGAAGTTGGTTGTGCGCCTTAACTTGTCTTGGCTCTGCCTTCCCCATGATCAATCCTACTACTCTACTAGCTAAATGTGATGTGTTTATGCTTATAAATGGATGCAGCATACAGGCACAGTCCTTGTGCTTCCGGCATACTTTGTCGAGTCGGCTTTTTCAATGCTACACTAATGTTCGTATCTATGATCAATGTCATGTTCATATCTCAAGTTTTATGGTACACCAATGTGGCATGCCATGTCCATCTCATGTTCAAATCTCATATCATGTTTTTTCCATGTTGTGTCATAGCGTGCAATGCCATTTTAACTAGCTGAAGTTAACAAAAAAAATGTATTTAAGCAGAACACTTGTTCTAATGTAGTCCTACTAATCAAAAAAGATGGACGTATTAAGTAGACACGTGGGTTGATTTCGTCCATTAATAACTAGGCTACCAGAAGACTGAAGACAGGTTTCTTGATAAAAAAAAAGATAAAAATCCTTCTACTTTCCAGAAGTTTCTTCAATTTTCTAAATTTCCCACTTTATTTTCCATTTTCTTCCTCTGATTTCCAGGCTAATTGTAGCAAGTTAAACAATCTTTGTTACTAAAAATGGCTAGTTTTAGCGAAGCACCAGCAGGAAACAAAGATTCAGGAGCCAAGATTTTCAGGACTAAATGTGCTCAGTGCCACACCGTCGAAAAAGGCGCTGGTCATAAGCAAGGTATGAACATATTAGATATCAGTATATGTTGGTGTTGCTTAATCAAGTTATGGAATTTGTGTTAAATGTTAATCAAGATTGATGATGAATTAATAATTTCAGATTTTGGGTTAGAATTGCTCTAGTTAATGAGTTGGTACATCGAATTTGGCCTTGCTAAATGCTAATTAGAGATTGTGATTCATATGCTTGCGTTATTTTGTGTTTTTGTGCACCTATTAGAGATTGTGATTTGAACAATTGAACGCCTTGTTGCTACTTGTGTAAACGCTCAGCTATTCGAGGTTGTGATTCCGAACACTTGCGTTGTTGCTACTTGTTATATGTGATCAAGTCTTTGTGCACATATTAGAGATTGTGATTCGAACACTTTCGTTGTTGCTATTTATGTAAGAGCAATTGTGTGCACCTATTAGAGATTGTGATTTGAACACTTGCGTTGTTGCTAGTTATGTAAGAGCTATTATGTGCACCTATTAGAGATTGTGATTAGAAGGGTAGCTTTGTTGCTACTTCTGTAAGGTGTAAGCTCGCGCTACTATGTGCACCTATTAGAGATAGTGATTCGAACACTTGCGTTGTTGCTAGATATGTAAGAGCTATTGTGTGCACCTATTAGAGATTGTGATTCCGAGGCAGCTTTATTGCTAGTTATGTAAGGTGTAATCGCGCCCTAGTGCGCTACTATGTGCACCTATTAGAGATTGTGATTCAATGCTGAATAAGGAGCTCTACATTATAACTTTGTTATTATCCAAGGGTATATGTGGCTTAAGTTATATGTATGTTGTTTTCGAAGGGGTTTTGTATTTTTAATTTTCTTAGTTAGACGATTTTTACTATGGACTTGGGTAATGATTTGTTGCTCTACCATATTCAAGCATGATTATGCTTCAGTGAACTTGTATTTGTAAGTTGTTTCATTGGAGAGTCTAATTGTGCTTTTATCTTTAAATTTGTTGCATTACGAGTTTTGCCTATAATTTCTTCTACAAACATCAGGGCACTTACATGTGAATATGTGATATTTAGTTATACATTATATAATTTTTGTTTTTTTGTATTATGGTCTTCAAGTTTCTGTCAATGTTGTGGTAAATGATGATCATGTAAGATGTGTATTGGTCATGTATCTTTTACTAAATACTTTTCTGTGATTAGTGACCTTGTTATGTTCTTGGTAATGTCGTGTAGCTATTCTGATTCAGTTTTATGACATTACAGGTCCGAATCTAAATGGTCTTTTCGGTAGGCAGTCAGGCTCAGCTGCAGGATATTCTTACTCTTCTGCTAACAAGAATAAGGCCGTTTTGTGGGGAGAAGATACATTGTACGACTACCTGCTGAACCCAAAGAAGGTATATTGATGACTTAATTGTACTCTTTTCATCAAATTGATTCCGGAAGCCTATGTTTTATCAAATTCGTGTGCCACAAGTGTTTAACAAGTCTAAGTGTCAAAAATTGGCTGTCGTATAAAAGTACTTGCATGTTTTTAGCCCAAAATGACATGTCATGCATGTAGTCGTGTAGAATATTTTGACATGGATAGTTGATTTGAACTAGGGGAGTTTGAGTATTTAGTCATAGGTTGATGTCTTCCGTTACATCTATTTGTGTATGAAACTTCTCTGCATTATTAGTTAATGGAATTACCTCCACTTCTTCACTCTTGTGTTTATGTTGTACAAGTTGTGTAGTGTTTATACATTGTTACCCTGTTTTAGCTTTCTTCAAGTTCGTTTCAAAGTCAATATAATTGGGCAAAATCTTTTATTCTTGCTCCTTAATTGTTGATGTACTTCTTCCTCTGCAGCAGAATGCAAACATTATTTCCTATATACCATTTTGTCCATCCCAATTACAAGTAAACACACTTTAAATAGGTTTTAGATCTCTTGATCCCTGTAACTTTATACTCCGTACTATGTTAGCTTTTAATAGGGGCAGAGGCAGCTACATATTTAGGCGATCTACATGCTGTGATGTTATTAAGGCCAATATAACTGCTCCCTTTGATTTGAATAATTTGATGTATGAATGTTGGATATAGTATTGAAGCTATTTCTTAGAATTAACTTGCACATATTGTGGGTGCCGTGCAGTACATTCCTGGAACAAAGATGGTTTTCCCTGGTTTGAAGAAACCACAAGATCGTGCAGACCTGATCGCGTATTTGAAAGAAGCTACTGCTGAATAATTGCGAAGTATCCATTTTCTTGCTGGAGATAACATCTAGAACTTCTCATTCGCACGACTGCGCGAAAGGAGCTTGCAATAATTGTTTTTCAAATAAAATTCAGCATGATTCTTTGTTATTTAGGCTATAAACTTGGGTTATTATGGGTCTTTTGTTCTTCCTTCCATATTGCAATTCTTTGCTGTTTAGGCTGATCAATGAAGCATTGTCTTTGGACCGAAGTTAATTGATGAATAAGAACTTTGTATTATTTCTACTGATAAATGATGTTTATTTTGTGGGAGATACAGTTTCTCATTGTCATTAAATATGAACTTGTAGCTCAATTTCATCTGCTCAGATTGTGGATTCTTTAACTTCTTATTATAAAGATGCTTTGGTATGGGTGTACCTTTTCCTTTTGTTTAAAAAAAAAACTTCTTTTTTTAATTAAATCATTACTTTCATTAATAGTGAAATTGAAGAAATTGTTTAAGCAAATTTCTTAGCATGTTGGCGTGTGGTAGACTGGCAGTGTGACGCACTCGTGGTTCATGTATGTAGTGATTTTGTGAGCCAGTACAGGGAAGGGTAGGGCTCTGAGGTTGTTTAACATATGCACAATTGAACCCATTGTCTAATGATTCTCAATCTTTATTTAATAAATAATGTTATAAAATTCGTTAAACAATAATTTATCATAATAAATAAATACTTTGTACCCTTGTGTTTGACACCATAGAAGGACTGGTCACGCAATTCATTTATTAATAAAGTCAGGACTCTCTTAACCTTTCGTCCCTTAAAGATTGCCCCATATATTATTTTAACGTTTTTAATTTTGTATCATATATACCCATATAAGGCAAAAATTTGTCCCAGCTTTAATAAAAGACTGAAGGAGTAATATAATTTGATTAATTTCATAAAAAAAAAAAATGATTCATGGTGGTTATAATTTAGCCATTGAAAAAAAAGAAAATAAAGCAACAAAAATCAAATAATAAGTTGAAAACCTTGGCTTTGGGCCATAGGCGTTGCCACAGTTCCATTGTTTTAAGTATCTCACTCTCATTTTGAGCTCGAGAGACAGAGAAAGCCTCAGATCTAATTACGAATCCTCGTCATTTATGTCCAAAATTTCCTAATTTTAATCATTCATTTCCAGGTTTATTTCTTATTATACCAATTTATTTCATTTAATTTCCTCATTTCCTTATTCTTTAATTTTGATAATTGTTGCTTGTTGCTTTATTTTATGTTATCTTTTCAATTTTTTGAATTATATATTGTTCGCATTCTTCCTGTGTTTATTCTTTATCTATTAATTTGATTGCTTTTTCTTTTTGTTAATAATTTTATCTATGATTTTGTATTTTTATGGCATTGTATACATTTTGTGGAATTCCTGTAACTGAATTAATTTGAATATTGGTTTCTGATTTTGAGGGGTTTGATTACGCCTGAAACCCTAGATTGCTGTTGAAATTTTGTGCAATACTGAAAAATGCCTGCTTTTTCTCTGTTTTATTGATTACCAAGGATGGTTATGTGATTTTGAGCGAATTACACGTAACTTGTACCGTAAATGTGGCGTATTAAAGTGGGATGGAGGGACGAGGGAGTAGTTTGCGATGTAACTGTTACTTTCTTGCTGGAATTGTCTCAGCTTGGGCTGGTTTTAATTGCTGTGAAATGTGAAGTGATCATGTGAATGATAAACATTCTAAAATTAAAAAAAATATATAATAAATAAAATAAGGAAAGGTAGTCATTGGCGAACGAGTTTGAAATGTGTTATAGAAGTGGCAAGAAAAGGTGAGAAGTGTTAATTTATGGTGAAAAGACTACGGTGTTTGCTGTTAAGTGGGTATTAGAATTAAAGTAGCTGCTTTCTTTACGGGAAATATGACTAAAGCTTTTGAATTTGGTGAAATGTTCATAAATCATCTTTTTTGGGAACTCTAGTGGTTCGATAGAAAATGATAATGTACATTTTAGACTCTTAGAGAGTGTATGCACTATGTATCTCCTCTATCTTTGGCAGGGAATGTATTTCTTGTCATATAGTTTGATACTATATGTCTTTAGGGAAGCTTAGAGCACCATGTTTTTGATATTGCTTATGGCCATAGACCGCTTTGTAGAACAGTAGACAACTTGGGAAGAGGCCTCCATGTTTTGTTTGTGTTTTGTTGTGTATTTAAAGCACAACAAAACATATGATCCTCTATCCGGAAATAATTGGTACCTTAATAATTGAGTGTAATTGAAATAGTATAGTGGCAGTAAATATGAAGGGAGGTAATCCATGATACCATGTTAGTATACAGGATTAGCATTTTCAATTAAATTCTAAGGGTAGAGACTATGGCTCTGTATCTTGTCTCAGATGGAAGCCTCAAAATAAGCCTTGGGCAATGGTATCAGATGCGATATCTACCTGAGATGCAACATCTAGTTAGCCAATATAATAACATGATATCCCCTTTATTCAACAAATTTTTTACTTTTTGTTGACATGCCCTGATTATATCCTGCAAATTAATCTAATTGTTTGTTCTGCTATCTTGCAGGGGCTAGGGGACTGCAAGTTTTCATACCATAATCTTTGCCAGTTTTTTTTTTTTTTTTTTGCAATGTCACGTAGACCTGTAAATCCTACTCGGCGTTTAGTTGATAGTGGGAACATTTCTTTGGGAGGGTCATTGCAATTAAAGTCACGCTCATCACCTCTTTTGACTATAGGGCTTGTGCTTTTGGTACTTCTCTTTTCCTTATGCATGGCCATTTGAAAGCAGGTTTTACACTTTCTTGTACTAACATCTGACACCGTATGTGTTCCAATATTAGGCCTTTTTGTATGTTGTTATTTTGATTTTTAGTTACTTTTTTGTTGATAGTTAAGGTTGAAATGACCTGACTAATAACTAGTTTGTAAAAAAAAAAAAAAAAAAAAAAAAAACATTTTTTATTTCTTTACTTCCTTTTATGCTTCATGTCAATATTTCTTGTAAAAAAGTACATTTTTATCAGAATGTTGTTTTCAGTAAACTTTTTCTTATGCAAAAAGAAAATTTCTTATACTCTCTTATCAATTTCAGGGTACAATCCTTTTCTATGCCTACTTATACAGCAATTCAGGTTTGTAATGTAATGTATTACTTATTAGTTCATGCTCTTGTGAATAATTTTTAATTATTTCATTTACACCTTAAATCAATGTGTGAATTTTTTCCTTTCATGCTTTGCAGGTTGGAGAAGAGGGGTTGATGTTGTGAGTAGATTTGAAGGTAGCTTTATAACTCACTCCTTTTGGTTTCTTTTATGTAGGTTTAGTGATAGAAATTTAACTTGTGGTATTGCCTTTGTTTGTGTGCACACTTCTTAATGAGAATGGCTGTATGATGGGTACGATTTTTTATTTTTCAGTTGCTAAGATGTATTTTTAAACATAGTTGTAATTTGTGTACGCAAGCTAGGTATTAAGGTATCCAATTATCAAGCACCAATGGCCAATGAAATACGTAGCACGGACTCTATTATCAATGCTTTTCTTTTTCTTTTTTTTTGGAGTGTGATGGGGTACTGGAGTGGGGTGAGGTGGGAGGCGGGGTAACAACATGTATATTTTTCTTGAGCTAATCTCTGAAAGTAACTTCATGATAACCTAAATTGTATGTTTAACTTTCTTGTATGCAACAAATTCTTTGTTTTGCCAAAAAAATTTTGTTTGTTAGCCAGGAGAATAGAACAGTAGCAAGCTGATGGTCTGTAAATTATTCAAGTATATGACCTTGTTACATTTCTGTAGGTGGTGTGTCATGCACGTTAGAGCTGCAACAGGTGTTACCTATTCTAAAGAAAGCATACGGAGACAGCATGCATAAAGTATTACATGTAGGCCCTGATACTTGTTCTGTAGTGTCTAAGCTATTAAAAGAAGGCGGCACTGAAGCATGGGGAGTGGAACCATATGACATTGATGATGCTGATAATCAGTGCCAGAAGCTTGTGCGTAAAGCTATTGTACGGGTTGCTGATATCAAATTTCCTCTTCCATACCGTGCAAAATCATTTTCACTTGTTATGGTATCAGATGCACTGGATTATTTGTCTCCTAGATACCTTAACAGAACACTTCCTGAATTGGCAAGGGTTGCTTCTGAGGGTCTTGTTATTTTCACTGGTAATGATCTAAAATTCTAAACCATAGCAAGTTTATTTATTTTCTGCTTAAAAACCCAATTTAACCTTTTGAATCTGCCGTCATTTGTCCAATACCAGACCAAGTGCATGACTAGATAATTGATATATGATGAAGGTTATGTTTGCTCTTTTGTCTCTTGAAGTGTGATGAAATATGAGTTGGCTTACCTTTAAGTTACGAAGTATGATTTTTAAGCTTATATTTCCCATGAGGAGTAGTGTTACAGGATCCTTATCTTTTTAGTATGGTCACTGGCAGTTGGCATGTCCTTTCTAGAGCGAAAAAGTCTAAAAGCTACAGAATCATCTATCTGATCAGTATATTATATATTTCAGTGAGTACTTATGCAATAAGACATATGCATGGCAGGGAGGACATAGGTAATAGGGCATAAGACATAGGTTTGCAATTAAGTTATTATTCGTAGACCCCAATAGCTAAGTTTAAGAGAAAACGCATGAACTTAAAGTTTGATTTTGTAACTTGTATATATGATGAAAGGCTAAGAGACTCATGATGCTTAAGGGATAATTGACATAAAGCATTTCGAACAATGTGGAGGTAAATGATAATGGATACTCCTACCATCTTTTTCTTAACTTTGTAGTTTGATTTGCACACTTGGTATGAACATTGGAGAGGTAGCAAACCATAGTGTGAACACATGATTAAGTATGGGCATTGCAGTCATCAAAACAAGTAATGTACGTTTCAGTTATTGACTTATTGTCAAATGTCAATTATAGATAAAAGATTATAGGTAACCTATCAAGTGAGAAATCAGATAAATCTTTTGTGGTTAAAAATATCCCATTTATATTAATTATGTTTCCTCATCTGTGAAGATTTGCTGATTTGTCTTCCTGTATAATAGGTTATCCTGGACGACAACAGAGAGCCAAGGTTGCTGAGCTATCCAAATTTGGTCGCCCTGTAAGTGACGCGTTTTTTATCCTTAATTCCTTATACTTTTTTTCAATTGGGTAAATTTTTCCTTTTTTTTATAGTTAAAGTGTGATCCATCTCATGACTGGCTTTCAGGATACCGGTTTTTCCATATTCTGAATAGATCAAATATATCCAATTTGTAAATTATCTTGAGTAATTGCAGTGGGGTACTAATGAAGTGGAGACTGAAGAATAAAGATTTATTGTTTCTAACTCAATGCTTAGAGCTTGTCAAACTATGGTGGCTTCTAGTCTGCTTCTTACTGAGAAAATTGGACCTTTATTTTCTTTTAACCTTTTGCTCATGTCTGCAAGCCCTTGTCCCTTCACTTGGGCTAAAATTAGATTTGAAAAGTTAGATTTAAAATTAAATTTGTGAAGGAACATAGCCAAAAGAGGAAGTGATTAAAGTTTTGTGCCTCACTGCATCATTTGCATTGAATGTTTCTGCACAGATTCATCTTTGACTGCTATATGGGAATCACTATACCTTATGACCCCATTATAAGGCATCTTAGTTGCATTGTGTATTAATTTGTGCAAACTTCAAAGTTCTGTGCCACATAGAAGGGGATCATTTTATACGAAGTATTAAATCCGAAGAGTTAGAGGTTGCACAGAGCCACAGAATACTCCGTTTTGTTTCATTTCCTCATCTTTATGTTTTGTTTATACGATTTTGGGGTGGCATCAAAGGGAACAGGCAGGGGGCCAATGGCCAAAAAAGGTTAAGGGAGAGGCAAAGGAGAGTAGAAGGAACCACAGGCCAAAGTCTTTTCAGCTTGTCCAAATAATTTCCAATTGAATCTTGTGCTTCAGTACCGTTAAAGCACACCTGAGGAAGGATCCATACAGTTTAAAGAGAGGAATATGGGGAAGTTCACATTTTTACTTGGTAGAAGGGGCCTATGTGGCTAAATATCTAGGGATAGATGGAGTAATAGTTTATTTATGGTGCATGTTCATTTTTAAAATGCCCATTCCATGTGCCACAGGGTTTGGTAATTGGTATGCCATTGCTCATTAATTGCCGTGATGTACATCTGTGTAAACATTTTCAGAAAATCTCTTCAACTTGTTACTGTGATTGGCCACATCGTTCATTTATCTTGGAATTCTTATTCACCAATGATTAGTCATTATACGTAATTCTACTGTTACATTAGTAATTTTTATGATTTGCCTTCAACAGCAAGAATAATGTCCTGATCTTTTGTTTGTCAAGGCCAAATTGAGGAGTGCTAATTGGTGGATTAGATATTTTGTTCAAACAAGTCTAGAGGAAAATGAAGCTGCAACGAAGAAGTTTGAACAGGCTGCAGTAAAGCGTTCATACAGGCCATCTTGTCAAATTTTCCACTTGAAAGCATATCCTTGAGTTCGCAAAGATCATGTACTTATACAAGGGCACAAGGCTTGGTGTGAGAGTGATACTTAACCCTTTTCATTACTGCATAGCTTAGAGTATAAATATATTACATGGTGGTGAAGAAATTACCGAACCCTTGTAATCGAAATTTAGCTTAGGTAAATCTGGGAATGTTGTCACTCATTTTTCTCAATGCTAGAATGCATCTCTTGAAAGTTTTTCTCAATGCCAAATTGTCTAATGTATAACACATGTTACGGGCGCTGAAATTTAATTTAATTTAGAACCCCTTACTTTTATTTCTAATTAATGGGTAATCAAAAACCCTTTAAGAAACTTAATTTTAGCTTATATACAAAAATTCCAGCTGTATTAAAGCATTTATAATTGTTGTAATTGTGTTTTAAAACACCTATTTTAATAATTTAAATCACCCATAAACAATTTCCATCAATATCCATAAACTTAGAAACCTAGGGTTTGTGTTTTGGGGCTTTTTAATTCAAAACAAAATCTGAAAATTTATATACATCATACTTAAAATCAAACATCATAAAAATCATCACAAAACCTATAAACAATAATTAGATTAAAGGTGGATTTAATTAAAAATCAAAAAGGAATTTTTTTTTATATACAACACACACGCATGCACAAGGGGGAAACGGAGGGTGGCTGGCGCTAGAGCTGTCAATTCGGGTAAACGGGTCGGGTTTGGATCGGGTAAGAGTAGGTCGAGTCAACTCGGGTTGGGTCAATTCAGATTAATTCCATAACCTATGCAGATCGGGTTTGGGTTGGGTCATGCTTGAGTCGGGTCACGTCGGGTCATACTTCTTATCGGGTTTTGGTCGGGTTAATAACAGGTCGGATTACATTCGGGTCGGGAAAACAATAGGTCGGGTTTAATTCGAGTTTTCACGGGCTAAAACGGGTTAGGGTAATTCTCGGGTTCGAGTCGGGTTCGGTTCAAGTAAATAATTTGCGGGTTAGAATCAGGTCGGGTCATTCTTGGGTTTGAGTCGGGTTCGGTTCATGTCAATAATTTGCGGATTATAATCAGGTCGAGTCATTTTCAAGTCGAGTCATTCTCGGGTTCAAGTCGGGTTCGGTTCAAGTCAATAATTTGCGGGTTATAATCAGGTTGGGTCATTTCCAAGTCGGGTCATTCTCGGATTCAAGTCGGATTATGTTCAAGTCAATAATTTGCAAGTTATAATCAAGTTGGGTCATTTCCAAATCAGGTCATATTAGGGTTCAACTAACTATAAATAGATAATTATCATTTTTATCAAGCTAATTATTTCCTTTTACTATAATATATATGGCAATATACTAGGGAAATATAGTCTATAATTTAGGAAGATAATTATCTCTTTTGACCATACAGTACAACAAATATATACTATATTTAACTCTTAAATTTGAGGATGATGCTCCTTTCTTTTGCTGGTCTGGACCGACTTGGTCTCCCAAGACAAAATGCTTTGATCAACAATAATAAGGTGGCTTGAATTGCATTTAAGGTGATTTGAAATCGGGTCAAGAACAATTTGGGTTGAATTTAGGTCGATCAGTAACAAGTCGTGTTAATTTGGAGTAGGATTAGTAACAGATCAGGTTGAATTTTTGAGTTGGGTAAGTAATAGGTATGGTAAAATTCGGGTCGGGTCAATAACAAGTCGGGTTGAATTTGGGTCAGGTTAATAACAACTCAGGTTGATTTCGGGTCGGGTTTGTAACATTTTGGGTTAAATTCGGATCGGGTTAGGAACGGATCGGGTTGAATTCAGATCAGGTTAGTAAAAAGTCCGGTTAAATTCAGGTTTTGACGGATTAAAACGGGTTTGGGTCAATTTCGGTTCAATTCAGGTTCAAGTCAGGCAAGTTAATTAAATTTGCCGTTGTAATTCGTTAAATCGGTGCAAGTTGTAAACCGGTAAATTGGCCGTTTATAAGCAAATTGAATGGTTCCACACACCCAATTGGAATCCCCGAGAGTATTAGGGACCATGGTAATCATTTCAGCAATTTTTATTTGCGGACGAAAAAAAGTCAAAAAATTCTAAAATTGATGGCTAATATTAACGCTTTTGAGAAATTTTGAAGGTTGCAAGGCCCGGTGTCGAAAATACTTCAAATTCTAAGGGAACATCCCGGGTTCATATAATGTCGTTTAAAACCATATATGATCATTATTTGTTGTCATAAATGTTCGTGATAGGCTTGAATTAATGAAATCGGTACAAGTTGTAAACCGGTAAATAGGTCGTTTAAATGCAAATTGGATGGTTCCACCCACCCAATTGAACTCCCGGAGGATATTACGAACCATGGTAAACATTTCTGCAATTTTTATTTTCGGGCGAAAAAAAATAAAAAAAAAACTTCAAAATTGAAGGCTAATATCCACGCTTTTTGAGAAATTTTGGAGGTTTCGGGGCTCGGTGTAGAAAAGTATAAATGTTTTAGGAGATACATCCCGGGGTCATATAATGCCATTTTGGAACCATATATGGTCATTATATGTTGTCATAAATGCTCGTAGTAAGCTTGAGTTAATGAAATCCGTGCAAGTCGTAAACCGGTAATTAAATTGGTCGTTTAAAGGCAAATTGGATGGTTCCACCAACCCAATTGGACTCCCGGAGGATGTTAGAGACCATGTTAAACATTTCAACAATTTTTATTTTCGGGCGAAAAAAAAAGTCTAAAAATTCCAAATTTAAAGGCTAATTTTTTTTGAGAAATTTTGGAGGTTTCATGACCCGGTACCAAAAATCCTTGAGTATCTAGGGAATACATCTCGGGGTCATATAATGTCGTTTGGAACCATATATGATCACTATTTATTGTCATAAATGGTCGTGGTAGGCTTGAATTAATGAAATCGATGCAAGTTGTAAACCGATAAATTGTCCGTTTAAAGGCAAATTGGATAACTCCACCCACCTATTTGGACACCCGGCGGGTATTATGGACCATGGTAAATATTTCGGAATTATTTTATTTCCGGGCGAAAATAAGTCAAAATATTCCAAAATTGAAGGCTAATATCGCTTTTTGAATAATTTTGGAGTATTCGAGGCCCTGTGTTGAAAACCTTAAGAATTAGGAGATACATCTCGGGGTCATATAATGCCGTTTGGAACCGTATATGATCATTATATGTTGTCATAAATGTTAGTGGTAGGCTTGAGTTAATAAAATCAGTACAAGTTGTAAACCGGTAAATTGAACGTTTAAAGACAAATTGGATGGTTCCACATATCTAATTGGCCTCCCGAAAGGTATTAGGGACCATGGTGAACATTTCGACAATTTTTATTTCGGGCAAAAAAAAATTAAAAAATTCCAAACTTGAAGGCTAATATCCACGCATTTTGAGAAAGTTTATAGGTTTTGGGACCCGGTGTCGAAAAGGCTTGAGATTTTAGGTGGTATATCTCGTAATCATATAATGCCATTTGGAACCATATATGATCATTATATGTTGTCATAAATGTTCGTGGTAGGTTTGAATTAATGAAATCGATGCAAGTTGTAAATCGGTAATTGGCCGTTTAAAAGGCAAATTGGATGGTTCCACACACATAATTGGACTCCTAGAGGGTATTTGGAATTATGGTAAACATTTTGGCAATTTTTATTTACGGGCGAAAAAAAAGTCAAAAAATTCCAAAATTGAAGACTAAATATCCACTCTTTTTTAGAAATTTTGGAGGTTTCGGGGCCTGGTGTAGAAAAGGCTTGAAATTTTACGGGATACATCTCAGAGTCATATATTTCCGTTTGGAACCATATATGATCATTATATGTTGTCATTAAGGTTCGTGGTAGGCTTGAATTAATGAAATCGGTTTAAGTTGTAAATCGGTAAATTGGCCGTTTAAAGGCAAATTGGATGGTAGGTTCCACCCAACCAATTGGACTCCCATAGAGTATTAGGGACCATGGTAAACATTTCAGAAATTTTCATTTCTGGGCAAAAAAAAGTCAAAAAATTCAAAAATAATTAAAGGCTAATATCCACACTTTTTTTAGAACTTTTAGAGGTTTCAGGGCTCGGTGTCGAAAATTCTTGAAATTCTAGGGGATATATCTCGGGTTCATATAATGCCGTTTGGAACTATATATGATCATTATTTGTTGTTATAAATGTTCGTGGTATGCTTGAGTTAATTAATGAAATTGGTGCAGTTGTAAATCGGTAAATTGGTTGTTTAAAAGCTAATTGGATGGTTTCACCCACCCAATTGGACTCCAAGAGGGTATTAGGGACCATGGTAAACATTTCGGCAATTTTTATTTTCTGGTGAAAAAAAGACAAAAAATTCCAAAATTGTAAGCTAATATCCACGTTTTTTGAGAAATTTTAGAAGTTTTGGGGGCCTGGTGTTGAAAAGGCTTGGGATTTTAAGGGATTCATCTCGGAGTCATATAATTCCGCTTGGAACCATATGTGATCATTATATGTTTTCATAAATGTTCGTGGTAGGCTTGACTAAATTAAATCGGTGCAAGTTGTAAATCGGTAAATTGGCCGTTTAAAAGCAAATTGGATGGTTCAACCTATCCAATTGGACTCCCAGAGGGTATTAGGGACCATGATAAACAATTCGGCAATTTTTATTTTTGGGCAAAAAAAATTCAAAAAAATCCAAAATTGAAAGCTAATATCCACTCTTTTTGAGAATTTTTTTAGGTTTCGGGACTTGGTGTCGAAAAGGTTTGAGATTTTAAGGGATACATCTTGGAGTCATATAATTCCGTTTGGAACCATATATGATCATTATATGTTGTCTTAAATGTTCATGGCAGACTAGAATTAATGAAATTGATGCAAGTTGTAAATCGGTAAATTGGTTGTTTAAAGGCAAATTGGATGGTTCAACCCAACCAATTGGACTCCCAGAGGGTATTAGGAACCATGATAAACATTTCGGCAATTTTTATTTTCGGGCAAAAAAAAAGTCCAAAATTGAAGGTTAATATCCACACTTTTTTAGAACTTTTAGAGGTTTCGAGGCTCGGTATCGAAAATTCTTGAAATTCTAGGGGATATATCTCGGAGTCATATAATGCCATTTAGAACCATATATGATCATTGTTTGTTGTTATAAATGTTCGTGGTAGGCTTGATAATAAAATTGGTGCAAGTTGTAAATTGGTAAATTGGTCGTTTAAAGGCAAATTGGATGGTTCCACCCACCCAATTGGACTCCAAGAGGCTATTAGGGACCATGGTAAACATTTCGGCAATTTTTGTTTCCGGGCAAAAAAAAAAATTCAAAATTGAAGGCTAATATCCATTTTTTTTAGAAATTTTGAAGGTTTAGGGGCCCTGTGTCGAAAGAAATGAGATTATTGGGGGTACATATCGGGGGTTAATATGATGCCGTTTGGAACCAAAAATGATCATTATATGTTTTCATATATGTTCGTGGTAGCCTTGAGTTAATGAAATCGGTGCAAGTTGTCAACCGGTAAATTGGCCGTTTAAAGGCAAATTGGATGGGTGGACTCCACCAACCCAATTGGACTCTCGAAGGGTATTAGGGACCATAGTAAACATTTTGGCAATTTTTATTTAAGGGCGAAACTAAAGTAAAAAAATTCCAAAATTAAAGGCTAATATCCACGTTTTTTGAGAAGTTTTGGAGGTTTCCGGGCCCGGTGTCGAAAAGACTTGAGATTTTAGCACATACATCTCAGGGTCATATAATGCCGTTTGGAACCATATATGATCATTATATGTTGTCATAAATGTTCGTGGTAGGCTTGAATTAATGAAATCGGTGCAAGTTGTAAATTGGTAATTGGCCGTTTATAGGCAAATTGGATGGTTCCACCCACCCAATTGGACTCCCAGAGGGTATTAGGGACCATGGTAAACATTTCAACAATTTTTATTTCCGGTCGAAAAAAGTCATAAAATTCTAAAATTAAAGGCTAATATCCACGCTTTTTGAAAATTTTTGGAGGTTTCGGGACCTGGTGTCGAAAAGGCTTGAGATTTTAAGGGATACATCTCGGAGTCATATAATGCCGTTTGGAACCATATATGATCATTATATGTTGTCATAAATGTTCGTGTTAGGCTAGAATTAATGAAATCGATGCAAGTTGTAAATCGGTAAATTGGTTTTTTAAAGGCAAATTGGATGGTTCCAACCACCCAATTGGACTCCAAGAGGGTATTAAGGAGCGTGGTAAAAATTTCGGAAATTTTTATTTCACGGCGAAAATTAGTCTAAAAATTCCTAAACTGAAGGCTAATATCCATGCTTTCAGAGAAATTTTGGGGGTTTCAGGATCAGGTGTCGAAAAGGCTTGAAATTTTAGGGTAAACATCTCGGAGTCATATAATGCCGTTTGGAACCATATATAATCATTATATATTGTCATAAATGTTCGTGGTAGGCTTGAATAATTAATCAATTAATAAAATCGGCTGCAAGTTGTAAATCGGCAAATTGACCGTTTAAAGGCAAATTAGATGGTTCCATCCATCCAATTGGACTCCAATAGCGTATTAGGAATCATGGTAAACATTTCGGCAACTTTTATTTACGGGCGAAAAAAAACAAAAAATTCCAAAATTGAAGGCTAATTTCCAAGCTTTTTGAGAAATTTTTGGGGTTTTGGGGCCCGGTGTCAAAAAGACTTGAGATTTTAGGGGATACATCTCGGAGTCATATAATGCCGTTTGGAACCACATATTATCATTATATGTTGTCATAGATGTACTTGAGTTCGCAAAAATCATGTACTTATACAAGGGCACAAGGCTTGGTGTGAGAGTGATACTTCACCCTTTTCATTACTGCATAGCTCAGAGTATAAATATATTACATGGTGGTGAAGAAATTACCAAATCCTTGTAATCGAAATTTAGCTTAGGTTGTTGAAGGACCATCTCAACAAAAAGCTTAACCTGATGATTGAGGCTTAGAAATATGTTTTATACTCTATCACGCCCCCGCACACGAGAGCCCATTTGGGCTAGAAGTGTGGATGCAACATGTTAATAGCCCATTTGCTCTGATACCATGTTAATGGACCAACTCAACCAAAAGTTTAAGCTGATGGTTGAGGCATAGGAATATGTTTTATACTCTATCATAGGTAAATCTGGGAATGTTGTCACTCAATTTTCTCAATGCCAGAATGCATCTCCTGAAAGTTTTTCTTTCATACTTTAACTGCCAAATTGTGTAATGTGAGTCACTGAGGTCCCTTGTCCTACACTCCCACACCTAAAACGTCAAAGTGTTGGCCCGTGGCACAACCCAACACAAATAAAGTATGACACATGTTACGGCACATCCCATCCACACTTTTTATTTAGAATAACACAACAAGACACAACATGATTTGATGTAACTGTATGCTAACACAAGTTAAATTTAGTTTAGCAACACAAGTGGCTAGACCCTGGGCTGTGTGCCACACAAACGGCTAGACCAAGGGTTGTGCCTTGCCAAGGCGTGTAGGCTCGAAACAATATTATCTTTATCCAAACTTGATTGGTTAAGGGCATGGTGTAGTTTAGATTTTAGATCTTTCACACTACGTATCTTATTTGTGCTTTGCCGACTAAGTAAAGGGGCATCTTATTATCCAAGTGTTCCAAATCTCGAGTGATATTGCATGACATCCCAGCTTATAGCATTGAGAGAACATGCAAGCACAATTAAAACACAGCCTATATCAAAGCAGCGTCGGTGTAGTGCTTGCGTAAGAGGGTCTTATATGCTTTTTGTTGATTATATAAATAGTTCACACTCACTTTGATAACTTAAGATAATATAGAGTAAGCAAAAAGTTTTAATATTATCCTATATGTTTAATATTAGTAAATTTGAATTTTGGTACTTTAAAAATGGGGTAATTGAATTTTAATACCCATCTAAAATTTTATTTTAAATTGGTACCTCAAAAATGACTAAACTATAGATATCAGTACCTCCGTTAGCATTCTGTCAACTTTGCCGTTAGTGGGGCCCATTATCTAATTATCTAATAATTTAATTTATTAAAAAAAAAGAAAAAAACATTTAATAAAAAAAAACTTAAAAAATAATTAAAAAAAACAGAAAAAACCCCTAATACCACCAACCACCCACCTTCCACCGGCGATAGACCAACCCCGCGCCCAACAACCTCCCCTCAACCCCCACCAGCCCCTGCCTCCCCGCGACGCCGCCACCCCCCCACCAGCCCTGCCTCCCCGCGACGACGCCACCCCCGCCCACCTGATGTGAAAACCACCACATCGAAACCCTAAAACCCCAAAATAACCTCCCTGCTCCAGTCCGCAACAGTAAATTTCGGCAGCCCACTGCCTTCACCACCAACATCCCGCAACTAGCAGAGCACCACAACCCCTGCTCCGTTCCCACGCACCAGCCAACACCAATTCCTCTGACGCCTTCACCACCAACATCCCGCAACTAGCAAAGCACCGCAACCCCTGCTCCGTTCCCACGCACCAGCCACCACCAATTCCTCCGAAAAAACCACCACCTTTCGCACTTCCAATTGAAGCCGTTGATCTTAAATTCTTCAGCCCCGATTTGGTTTCAGGGTAAGGGTGAGAGGAGTACGGCTGTTTGTGGGTTTTGGTATGGGTGTGGGTTGGGGTTTCGGCAGTTCGGCGACGGTTTTGGGTAGAGGAGAGGAGTTATGCGGCGGTGGTGGGTTGATTTGCTACTGTCGGCACAGGGGAAGGGTGGCAGTTTTCTGATTTCTTTTTTAATAAATTAAATTATAAAATAATTAGATAATGGGACCCACTAACGGCAAAGTTGACAGAATGCTAACGGAGGTACTGATATCTATAGTTTAGTCATATTTGAGGTACTAAAATTCAAATTTTCCTTGTCATATTATTGCAACTTTTTTCAATCCGTTTAATATTAGTTGTCATATTATCGTAACTTTTTTTCATGACATTACATTTTCTTCTAAATCTTGAATATTTGTGATATTTATATTTTCTTTCATCCATATAATTTGTCTCTATCAAATTTAGTCAATTATCACATTATTTATCATCAACTATCTATGCTTTTATGATGATAAGATATGAGAATATAATAAAATTTGATGACTTTATTCTATTTTTTTTAAAAGGGTGTAATTTTCACGTAAAAAAGCAAGAAGTGATCCCAAAAAAACAAAGAAGTGTATGGGTATTGTTTTTGGTGGGACATTGGAAATTTGTGTTTTGATTATTTGGCTATTACTTAATTGAGAGGTCATTTAAGGCTTTAGGAGAGCTCAGTTTGGTTAGGGCTTCTCCGTTAGAGTCTCATTCTTACATCAAGAATTTGAAGCTTAGGTAATGTAAGGTATAAGTCAAATTTTTACAACCATGCTATCTCAAATAGTCACAATTTGTGGGTAGAAAGTTTATTTATTATATACTTCATTTGTGAAATTTAAATGTAGAAGCTTGTATAATTAAGATTAACAATCTTATTAAATTAGTTTGAGAACATGTGATGCTGGAGTTTGCCTAAGAATAATTCCAGAATAAACCGAATGCTTATGCAGTTATGCCACAAGTGGGTGCTAAATTCCAATAATGATCTTGCTATCATTAATCTATCAAAACAATTGTAAATCATCTTGTACAGTTATACATAAGATTTTTTTAATGACACAGTGCAATGATAAACGGATAAATAATAATAGTGTATTCAAAATCTCCCTCCGTCTAGAAATTGTGTGTAAAAGAGAAAAATATTATAAAATGATAATGAAGTTAAAAGGTAGAGAAAGAAATACTACAATGTTAATGTGAATGAGGTTTTCACTTTTAGCAATAGACCACTTAAAATAAACAATACTCCGTAGATATTATTTTCATGTGGTTCAAATCTGTTACACTTATGGTGGTAGTATATCCTGAAATTGAGGAGGAATAAGATTTCAAACCCAAAATCATGAATAAAATCATAAAAAAAATCTTTTTTTTTTATTTTTATTTTTTTTTATACAAAGTACCAGTGTATCTAAAACTTAAGACCAAATTCGATTCGACTCTATCACACCATCTACACCAAAAAAAAAAAAAAATCATTTACTATGCTACTCCATGTACTCAAATAAAGTACTTGATCCGTCTTTAGAAGAAAAAAAAAAAAAAAAATAGAAAGTACTTTTAGAAAGGAAAAGAGTAGAAGTAATTGATCCGTAAAGAGTGGAACACTTTAGAATAAAGAGCCCACACCGCACCCGTAATCAGGTTCGTCATCGTCATCCACACTTGTGCATCACACGTCGCAATTTCAGAAACGAAAACTCTCATTTTCTCTCTCCAAACCGCTTCCGTATAAGCTACTGCTACTGCAACTTCTACCATTATTACTACCTCTTTCAGAGCTAGGGTTTCTTCAAATTCTGCAACAATGGAGGTTCTTAATTTCTGAGCTTTATCTCTAAATTACTAAAATTTCGAAGGAGAGAGAAAATGACTGTTGAGTATACATGTTGCGAGACGCATTTCTTCGTGAATATAGGAATCATCGTTTTTCTGGTGATTTTTGCTGGATTAATGTCTGGTCTTACTTTAGGGCTCATGTCAATGAGTCTTGTTGATCTCGAAGTTCTTGCTAAGTCTGGTACTCCTAAGGATCGTAAACATGCTGGTATAATTTCCAATTCTACTCTGTTATTACTAATTTTTTTGATTAATTTTGATTTTAGTTGCATTATTATGCCAATGCTGTCATTTTGATTTCGTGTGCTTTTGAAAATTATGTTTGGTATGTTTGATTTTGTGTGTTGATTGTTTTTGGTTTAGTTTATAGAAATTTTGGAGAATTTTGTATGTTAAATAATTTTCAATTCATGTTATTATTAGTTAGAGTAACATGAACTGGTCTAAATTACTAGAAAAGCTACAATTGTTTGAAATTGATTACTGAAATGGCTTTGATTATGATTGGTTTGGGTTGCAAAGGCAGTGTTCTTTTCGAGATCGGGCTGTTATATGTGCTTATGTATTGAGGAAGGGAGTGATGTCTAATGTGTATGTGATGTAGGTTATTGTTCTTCGTGAGGAGAAGTGTTCATATTAGAAAAAAAATGACTAGAATTCTTGCAAATTTAGCGCCTTGATAAAGATAGTTGAACTTGTGGTAGTCAGCCAGCTTCAAGATGGCTAGATTGAACTAGAAATATCCTAGGCTCCAGTCTTTTCATTGTGCAATAGCATCCTAATTCTAATTAAATTTCGTGGAAAGAGTTACTCCGAGAAGATATAGAGCATGTAAAATGCAAGAAAAGGAATTGTTGGAAGTTTACTTTCAACTGAACTGTTTCAGTTATCTAGGATTCACTTGTAATTTGTAGTTGATTGGATATATCTTATCTTCTTATTTAAGGGCTTTGGTGCTGGTGTACGTGTTTAGCATAAAGTGTTGAGGATATGGACCAACACAAAAAGGGTTAAGACTTAAGAGCATTTGGAAACGGAGGTAGTATGTTGTTAAAGAATATTTGAAGAATAGGTTGGTTTATGTCTCAGTTTGTAGGTTACCCAAATGTTGAGACGTGGTTTATAAATCACTTCTTTTTTGGTAATAGTATGTTGATATTAGTTTTCAGAAATATTGAAGCTTTTTAATTTTATATTTACATTTTTTTTTGGTGCTATCATTGTAAAGCTTCAAAATTATTGTATATTGCTCCTAATGAAAACTTCCCCCTCTTCACATGATAGAGAAGATATTGCCTGTTGTTAAAAATCAGCATCTACTACTCTGTACCCTGCTTATCTGCAATGCTGCTTCTATGGAGGTATTTTCATGCTCATATAGTATGTCTAACGCACTAACTTTGTAGAAAATACAAGCTAAAAAAATCCAAACCCTACTTTTGCAGGCACTTCCAATTTTTCTAGATAGTTTGGTTACAGCCTGGGGTGCCATCCTCATTTCAGTTACTTTGATACTTCTGTTTGGCGAGGTTAGTTTTTGAGACTTTGCTATGCCATCCAGAATATAAGTTGCTAGTAGTATCCACATTTACGTAAAGATTCCAACTAACTTTATCTAAAACTGCATCGACATTGGCAGTTTGTCACTTGGTAATCAATATAAATTTTTAACTAAAAGGGCCTATGATGTTTTATTGACAGTATAAAGAATGATATCAATGTTGTATAGGTATTGCATAATGATTTATATATTAGATTATGAAAACTCACCTTAGATGACCTATGCTTTGGATTGGAGAGAGTACTTTAACACTATAACAGCATAACTCTTAAAGAGATATTGTCAGTGTGAGTGGATTTTGTACTTCCGTTTATGTGAGGCTGTAGCATTCCACCCATTCTGCTTAGATGATCAAACCTTGTCTGAAAAGAAAGCTTTTTAGTCATTAGGGATTAAATGTACCACTACTACCTGATTGGAAGTAGAGCTATTTCCTGATCAAGGGTATTTTTGTCTGAGTAGTACTGTGTAATTGACGTTTTTTGTACAACAAGTATATTTCCTATCATGTTAACGTTTTCGTAAATTTTTAATCTAAACGGTGTTGCATTGCAAATGCAGATTATACCACAGTCAGTTTGTTCTCGTCATGGTTTAGCGATTGGTGCAACAGTAGCGCCTTTTGTTCGTGTTCTTGTTTGGATTTGCTTTCCTGTTGCCTATCCGATAAGCAAGGTTTATGTTTCCTCTTATGTTTTTTCTGTTTTACTTGATTACTCTGGAGGCGCTTTTGAAGTTTCCTATCATTTCATGGCCATTTATGTCATTATGTTGATTGCTTGTTAATATTCTCGTCTGCAGCTGCTAGACTATCTTCTAGGTCATGGACATGTGGCTCTTTTCCGAAGAGCTGAATTGAAGACACTTGTCGATTTCCATGGAAATGAGGTCTGTGTTTGATTATAAAATAATCTTTTCTTATGATGTTTCCTTTAAATTTATTATTGTAGGAACCCATACCCTTTTTTCTCTCAGATAAACCAGGATCGTGAAATCCAATGAGAAGAGGCTAAAAGTGTCTAAAAACACTAAAGTAGGGTGTTTTCCTTGTAGAGGAGGGGTTGAGAAAAGAGTCATCCCTGATTCCCTGTAAAGTAAGAGTTTGATTCAAGTAAAAAAAAAAAAAAAAAGAATTGCTAATGCCCCCAAGTTAATGATCTTATCCACAGTATCAAGAATGGAGAAACGATGCAAAATATCTGATGTCACAAAGTCATCATTTCTAGTCCTTCAAAATCTGATGTCACAAAATCAGTTCAATCCTATACCTTCAAAAAACACAATTTTTGTAAAGGGATCAGCTTCCACACTTTAACTATCCCTTTTTCCATCCGTTCCAAGTTATAACATGTATTTGGTCGATCCTGAACCCAGCAAACCTTTTAGGACAACAAATCATGCCAAATAGAGCATCTAGGGAAAGGAACTAGGAGGTCATTGGCTGATTCTTCACCATGTTCGAAAAGACTTGCGCTACTAGCAGTCTAGCACTACTGACTTTTCATTTTTCTTGTGGATCTCTCTGAGAATTTTCCCTTCCATGTGACAAGCAACGTACCCTGTTAAAACCAAAGGGGCTTGGAAGTACCTTGGACCTCCAATTGGCTTGGACCGGGGAATTAAGTTATCCTTCAAGGTATATCAAGTTGTGCTTTGTTAATTCTATCAGTGTCAGTGAGAGAATGGACCTGTTATTTTTTTATTAGTGAATTTGAGCCTCCACCAGTATTTCCTTCTTATAGCCGAAGACTTGTAGAGGCCCAAGCTACTGCTATCCCAGTCTTTAAACATGATTGATTCTGGGGAAATATGTTGATTGAAAATTTGAAATATGGAATCCTACCTTTAACAAGACATCTTATGATTATAGAACCCAACCTTTCTCTAGCTACACTTCTTTTCAACTTCAGAAGGTTAACAACACCTGTGGCCGCTAATTGAAGAAGGTAAGAAAATTTCTTAGAAGAACAAGTTGATGAACTCCTAAATGCTCATTACAATCAATAGAAAACTGTTTGTGCAAGGAAGCATTCTAACACCTTCCTGAAAATACCAACTGAAGTGAGCACTGTTGGGAGGATGTTTAATGAGGTCACAATGGTCAAAGAGCTTAGACCTAGCCTGAGCGAGGTCTTCCACTTTCAGATCAGGCATTTTGACCAGATAACCTTCATGTAAACACCGTGGAGTGTCTTATAACTCCAATTATTCCTACAGGATGTGACAACAGGTGTTGGTTTTTATTTTAAACAATATGGGATGTTTTGTATGCAGTGTTAGCCATCATAGCAAGGCCTATTTTGTTCTATTGCAGCTCTAATGTTATGGCGACTATTGCCTTGATATATCGATCCTTCATGTAACCATATATCCATTCTTTATTTGTTGAAAACAGGCTGGAAAAGGTGGTGAATTAACGCATGATGAAACTACTATTATTGCTGGAGCGCTTGAAATGTCTGAGAAGACAGCTGGTGACGCAATGACTCCTATATCTGAGATATTTGCTGTTGACATCAATGCCACATTGGATAGGTGCAATATGCTATCACAATTTATAGTAATAAATAAACATATACGAAGTATATGTGTATTTTTTCCATCAGCCCTGCTCAGGAAAATAAAATTGCTATATGTAAGCTTATAGTATCTCCTTTGCAGGGTCACAATGAACGCAATTCTGGATAATGGCCATAGCCGAATTCCAGTATTTTATGAGCAGCAAACAAATATTATTGGACTTGTTCTGGTACATTGAGTGTTGTTTTCTTCATTCAACTTTGCTGCTTCATCCCTTGCTTATGAGAATCGAGATGAGCCATATTTGACAGTATATTACTAAATTTATTACAAATGAATATTGCATAGATGAGATAACAGTGTAGAATAGGGAAACAGAGGGAAAGTTCTCACCATAATAATATAGATTTCACCTTATAAAAGTGAATGAATTTTGGAGATTGTAGTATGCAAGCAGAGGACAAAACCTCCTGAACATGAATTTCTGCAAATCCTCCCAATTATATTGCATCTTCAGCAATACACTCCTATGTAAGAATGTAGCTGAAAAAGATGAAATATGAACTTTCTTTTCCATCAAATGCACTAAATGGGTAGAAATGTGAACTTGCTTTCTCATCACACTCACCAATATATCTCTCTAGCCAAGTGTAACAATAGAACCCAGGCATATTTAGTTATCATTTTTTATCCAAAATATCTTGCTTCAAAGAAAGTGTGTGATTGAGCAATGGTGGATAATAAGGTGGTCTGCTGTCCTTAGTCTGTATTTTTTGTTTGGGCAATCCTTGTAATTTAATTTTGTCAATATATACTGCAGTATGTCTTCTAACAATGATTGCTTAACAATTTCAGGTGAAAAATCTGTTAACTATTGATCCAGAAGATGAAATACCTTTAAAGAGTGTAACAATTCGCAAAATTCCAAGGTATGTGTAGGGACTTGCATTCAAATGATGTTTGTTACTCAAAAGTTCAAAGCAATTAAAATTATTCCCTCCTATTCTTTATTTAACTCACTATTTTTGCTCTCTTTCTTGTATGGCAATGGAAATTCTCTTTTTTACCCGTATTCTATTGCATGGTTCACTATTTATTCTATATGGAGTAATCCAAATGTCTCGTAACTTCTTTCTCTTATCATGTTAAATAGAAAGGTATAGGGATTATATGATATTGAATTCCTGGTAGATTCCCAAATATACATGTCGAATAATTTAACATGTGCACTTTGCATTTTATCATGTAGATTTTCATATTTGTGTCTCTTATGTAGGGTACTTGAAACATTGCCTCTATATGACATACTGAATGAGTTTCAGAAAGGCCACAGCCACATGGCAGTAGTCATTCGGCATGTGAACAAACCAGAGGTGCCGCTAGTCAATGGTAATTCTGTGGGAGGTAATTCCTGGTCTGTGACCTTCTTCATTACTAATGAGTTTCTTTTAATCATTAAAGACTAGATACGTCCTTAAAAACATTATTGAGGGATACTGAATTCCTGTTTGGAAAAATAAAATAAAATAATCCACCTATCATTGCATGATTCAGTTTCCTTATCCCAAAAGACTGGATTCAACCTTAAAACCCTTTATCTAGCCAGATAGTTTTTTTGTCAATTGCCTCCGAACTTCCTTGGTGCTTCTAAAAGCTTAACAAAACGTCTGGAGAAGATGAACATGTAATAATTATTACTCCGTATTTGTCCTTTATCCTTTATGTAGATTCAGTGAAAGAGGTAAAGGTGGTCATTGACGATGATGATGAGCAACAGGGTATTCTAGAGAAGGCAAAGAGTCTGAAACAGAAAAGAAACTTCTACAAGTGGAAGAGCTTCCCAAACAGTAACAAATCGAACAAGGGAGTGAGGGCCAAGAAATGGAATAGGGATATATATTCAGACATCTTAGAGGTTGAGCAGCCTTTGCCAAAGCCTGATGAAGAAGAAGCGATCGGGATTATCACTTTGGAAGATGTCATTGAAGAGCTATTACAGGTAATTGAATACTGTATAATGTTTGTCTTCTCCCTAAATTTGTCATAAACTAGCTTGACTTACTGGATGAAACTGTCGGAAATTGGTTAAAATGGTGTATTTGCAGGAGGAAATTTATGACGAGACAGACCATCCTATTGATGATTCATGACACTTGGCTATACAAGTGAATATCTTAATTATAGATGATATAACCATTATCAGTCCAAAAGAGGAGGATTAAGTTTCCGACAAAACAATTTGTCAATCCGAAGCTAGGTTAGGTCTTAGGTGGTCTGAGGCTCAGAGGCTGGAATGTATGATACATGCCATCATCAATATAGGTACTTTGTTTTGTGAATGTGTTGTAAATGTAAGCTAACAGTTGCTGATGGTCTCCCTTTGTTTGAGGTGAATCCATTAAATTACGATAATCTATTAGAGCGTGTAAGCTGTTTTTAGGACAAATAATTGTTAATGCTTGACTAATTTCTCGACTTCCCTTTTTGTGCAATCTCAACAATTCAACATCACTGGGGTCACTAATACAGTAATACCCTTGAATTCTTGTGTGAATTAAAATTATGTGAGGTTACTTGTTGAAAAGGTTTGGAATAGGTAAATGATTTCTGATAATGTAACATTATCAGCTTATTTTGGCGTAGTCAAATACTATCATATCACATGGTATTATTATATACTCGTACTAAGTATTTCGTATTTATATCTTTTTAATATAAAGTCTTATTATACAGATGACTAGGTCAATAATTGTATTAGGTAATAAAGGTGGCTTTCAAGCCTTTAACACAAAGCTGGTTTAATTGGAATGGTAAGACGCAAGAAAGAGAATAATTGCATATGGGGTTAAAGGCTCGAGGGATATAGAAACCAGATTTTATCTAATTTATTGCTTTTCATAATTCTTATACCGAAAATAAAGGGATATTACATAAGTAGTACGTGATTACCCTTTTACCCATTTTATGCAAGATTCAAGGTTGTTGTGATCTTTTACGTTCAAATACAATAATTAAAATGATCTTATCTGATTAGAGGAGACCAAACCTAATCCGATTAGAAAAATATCCGATTTAAAGTTTGACTTGCATAGTTTAACATGACTCGAATTTGAAATAGACCTGACCTGATTCGACCTAATCGAACTCAACTCAAATACTCGAATTGATACCTTTACATAAGATTTTTCTGTGACATTATACATTGAACAATATAAAAAGTCACTAACAAATGCGATGCAGTAACATCAAGTCATCAACGTTGTGGAGCGGTTATAACCTTTACATAAATTCATCTTTCAAGAATATAACAAGTCATCTTAGGACTAATTTTGATCACGTTTGCATTGAAAATTATAGTCGCGACCTCGTACGGGTTCCTATCGCTAACTACTCAACAAACTTATTTATACATAATTATAAGAAATATTATTAGTGCAATTAGTCATACTAGAAATTTATATGCGTAGAATCTATATTACTTAAGGAGGAACAAAAGGTATCCACACGTGGTGAGAAATCGGTTTACTAAACTAATACGTACCTTTGGTAGTCGTTGTAACGTGACTATCAAGTGCTTTGTTTTATCAATTATCACATTAAAGTTAATAAATATTTAATTAAGAACATGCCTAGTAAAGAAAATATTGGAAAATGTCTAACAAAGTAAGGAAAAAAGAAAGAAAATTGGAGTGCATATATATGAGGCAGTGAGTATCTTGCGGTAGGAGCATGTAGGAGCAAGCTAGCAACGGAAAAGATGAGAAAGAGGAAATCAAGCAAATTCTACTCATAATTTACACTAGTTTGAAATCTTGAATATGATTTATACCAGAAATTATGTACTTTGTAATTTGTATAGAATAAGATGATTGAGAATTATTTAGTGGATCATGTTATGAACCTTTTGGCTTGTAAATTCTGTTATACATCATGCTATCATGGTATAAAGAATGTAAATATACATGGTGATGATAATTTAAGGAGGCGGGTGCTTATGTATAAAACAAATTATGTCTTTGATGTGTAATTAACAAGTCGGTTTGTACATAATATTTGTTATTGTGTCGTCAAGAGATATGTAAATTCCGGTGTAATGTAGACTTGAATCGGCATGAATATTGTTAATTAACTATATCTAATGAAAAGTGAATTGGCATGGATAAAATCATTATATTTAATTTTTCTTGGATATATATGTAATTATTTAGGTGACAATGTGACATGCATAATTTGGAACTTTTATGTTTTCAATTTGTTCTATAGATACGTAGTATAATACCAGCTTGTCTTTCATGTGCCCTGATGCGTTTCTTGATTCGTTTGGTCTTAGGTTTAAACAAGCTTCACTCGTTTGTTTTCGCCTAAGGGTTCTAAATCTGATTTCAAGGCTTCACTCACCTTAATCTCGTGATTTAGGGGTTTTTTGAGGATAGTTTGAATTAGCTTCACTCACTAATTAATCTAACCTCTCTTAAATCAGGTTTCACTCGCCTAATCTAAGGGTTTTTATGTTTAACTTCACTCGTCAAACACAAAGAAAACTTGGAAAGAAACGTTCCAAATTAACAAGCAATAAAGCTTTAATCAACAAAACAAAACTTCTTCTTTAATTCAAAGTTTACAACCTTTATTTATAGACTCAAAACTAATTCTAAACCTAATCAAATTAGAAAACTAATCCTAATTGAATTAGAATCCCATTTGACCTAGAAAACCTAAGAAAACCGAAACTTGATCCCCAAGTTCCTAATTCGGATATGACTAAACTAACTAAGTTTAATTCAACTTAGATTAGGTTATTCAATCCTCCTAAAACACCTAGACACGCCTAAAAACCAAAGTCAAGTCCTAATCCACTTAGGAATTTACTTTGCTAAAAACAAGTCCTAATCCAATTAGGAATCTCTTTTGCTAAAGACAAGTCCTAATCCAATTAGGAATCTCTTTTGCTAAAGACAAGTCCTAATTCAAATAGGAACTCACTAGACCAAAACAATTCCTAATCAAAATAAAAATCCTAACGCTTAAAACAAGAAAAACCCTTTCAAGTGAAAGGTAAAAACTTGTAAGCCAAAATCTAATCTAAGAAACATTAAAGAAACGGACCAAGAAAGGAAACGTTGAATGCATCCGCATCATACTCCTCCTCTTGAAAACGAACTTGTCCTCAAGTTACATCATAACAAGGAACGAGATCATTTGCGCTAAGAGAAGCACAAACGCCTTCACCAAGTAGCACTTGAAATGTATCATAATTCTCCCTATGCACGATTTTAAAAGGCCCTTCATCAAAGGATTCATGCTTGTCTTTGCGGTTGTTGTATAACTTCTGTGCACTCAAAGAAAGCCACACATAGTCACCTATCTCAAATGGAGACTTACGAACAAGTTGAAGCACTCTATCTTGCTGCTTGTCTTTCTTCTTCCTTTTACTTGAACCACCTTCATCACATGTAGAAAGAGAAATAACCTTGCTGCCATCATGTTGCATAGGTTCGAATTTAGGAGGCAAAGGTTTTAATCCAATCCTTTTCCCTTTATGTAGAACTGAAACCACATTCTTCTTTGCAAGGTAGATCACATCACGATCAAATTGCCAAGGACGGCCTAGCAACAAAGCACATGCATCCATAGGAACAACATCACACCATACTTTGTCTTCAAACTCACCAATTGTAAAAGAAACCAATGCTTGTTTCGAAACATGTACTCCTCCAACATTTGTGAGCCAATTAAGTTTGTAAGGATTAGGATGGTTCCTAGTCTCAAGCTGCAATGTATCCGTCATCTTCTTAGAGCATGCATTAGTACAAGAACCATTATCCACAATAACTGAACAACTACGCCCATTCACTAAGCATCTAGTGTGAAACAAGTTTTCCCTTTGTGCCATATCAGTCAAAGGAGTAGATTGAGCATGGAGAAGCTTTCTCAAAACAAGTGTGTTGTGATCCGGGGCTGCCTCACACAATGGTTGCTCTTCACACTCTTCTTCAAAGTCATATTCATTCTCCTCTCCTTCACGTTGCTCTTTTAGAAGTAAAGCAAGTTTAGCATCCTCCTCTTCTAAGGCTTGGTATCTTGTTAATGTCATGACCCTTCTATTAGGACACTCGGACTTGTAGTGACCTCTACCTTGACACTTGAAACACTTGATCTCCTCTTCAAGACTCTTCCTATGATGCATGAACGTAATGTGTCGTTCCATCAAAACAGTCATCTGTTCAAGCAAGTGAGTGATCGTTGATTTATTCTCCATGTTTGCGCACAATCAGTAATTTTCCCTCGAAAGTTTGTTGCTGTAGATTTTGCGTCACTTATCCAATGACCACGAAATTTTACAGTCTATAATTTTAGTCCAATAGGAATCCAACCCAAAATAAATCACCAAAAAATACCAAGTAGATAGTTTGCAGTAACCTAAAACTTCCAACTGGTCCAGATCTGCGCCGAGAAGAACAAGAACCAAGAAACTAGCACGAATTGATTCTTGATTGCTCAAGAACAAGGATATAACGACTCAATAATCACACCAACAGCTCTGATACCATTTGATGCGTTTCTTGATTCGTTTGGTCTTAGGTTTAAACAAGCTTCACTCGTTTGTTTTCGCCTAAGGGTTCTAAATCTGATTTCAAGGCTTCACTCACCTTAATCTCGTGATTTAGGGGTTTTTTGAGGATAGTTTGAATTAGCTTCACTCACTAATTAATCTAACCTCTCTTAAATCAGGTTTCACTCGCCTAATCTAAGGGTTTTTATGTTTAACTTCACTCGTCAAACACAAAGAAAACTTGGAAAGAAACGTTCCAAATTAACAAGCAATAAAGCTTTAATCAACAAAACAAAACTTCTTCTTTAATTCAAAGTTTACAACCTTTATTTATAGACTCAAAACTAATTCTAAACCTAATCAAATTAGAAAACTAATCCTAATTGAATTAGAATCCCATTTGACCTAGAAAACCTAAGAAAACCGAAACTTGATCCCCAAGTTCCTAATTCGGATATGACTAAACTAACTAAGTTTAATTCAACTTAGATTAGGTTATTCAATCCTCCTAAAACACCTAGACACGCCTAAAAACCAAAGTCAAGTCCTAATCCACTTAGGAATTTACTTTGCTAAAAACAAGTCCTAATCCAATTAGGAATCTCTTTTGCTAAAGACAAGTCCTAATCCAATTAGGAATCTCTTTTGCTAAAGACAAGTCCTAATTCAAATAGGAACTCACTAGACCAAAACAATTCCTAATCAAAATAAAAATCCTAACGCTTAAAACAAGAAAAACCCTTTCAAGTGAAAGGTAAAAACTTGTAAGCCAAAATCTAATCTAAGAAACATTAAAGAAACGGACCAAGAAAGGAAACGTTGAATGCATCCGCATCATGCCCTCACATGTTAATTTTAGGAGTAAAACTTTCAATATAAAAATAATGAAGTTTTTGGAATTTCCTGTAAACTACTAATAACTGAAATATTGGCAATTAAAAAACAAAAAATAGACAGTAAACATTATATAGTACTATAACGTCAAATGGTTTCACCAAAAAAAATTTAAAATATAATAAAACTTAGCGTAGTTTATTCTACCAGTAGGAACTGCAACTAATTCCTTTAAAGGTGCTGTGTTTGTGATTCGTCTGCAATATTTGCTTCGTAATTTGTGAACATAAATTAATTAAAATTGTACTTAAATTGCCTTTGATTGTTAATCAAGGATATTATCCTTGACATTCTAATTTAGAACGAATAATTTCAGCTTTACTAACGCTTTGTGAATTGTAGAACAAGTATTGTAAGCCTTGAACAAGTACAAGCAAGAACATCATTAATGCAAGGACAAATGGACAATTATTAAAAATATTTTATGAATTAGAATATCCACAAGGAACATTACTCACGCAAACAAGCCACTACTAATCTACTACTACGTCTATTAAAATTGACTGAATAAATAATAGAAAATGCTCGTATAGTTTATGACATCACTATTAATACTTTTTTTTTTTGGTATCAAATAAGAATTCAATAATATTTATAGAGTAATTTTGGCTAGATATTAAGTGAATCTTTGATTTTCATGCGATCTCACTTAAGTCGAACCTTCATTTTGGTAAGGAAAATTTGTCAAAAACAACCTTTTAAAGTGTCCACTTTATTTAAAACAACCTTTTAATTATTTTTTTTTGCAATTTAAGACCACATTATAAATTTTTTTTATCAAAGACAACCAAATGTTACTTTCCGCCGTTGACTCAATTTTTGCCGGGTGTTGACCACGAGTGTGCGAGTCACGTGACCTCCTACATTGCTTAATAGACCCCTTTTTCCTCCAATTAACTCCTATTAAAACCTCTACTTCTCTTTCATCCCTCTTTTAGTACGAGTGAATTAGAGTGAAAATTGGTGTATTAAGCAATATACGAGTTCATGTGCGTTGCACACTAGTAGTTAACATCGGGACAAATAGAGTCAAATGCCGGAAAGTAGCATTTGGTTGTCTTTGATAAAAAAAATTTATAATGTGGTCTGAAATTGCAAAAAAAAATTTAAAAGGTTGTTTTAAATAAAGTGGACACTTTTAAAAGGTTGTTTCTGACAAATTTTCCTTTTGGTAATAACAATATGTTTTAGTAATAAAAAATTGTTGTAAATTCACAAAAATCAATTTTGATTAGTTTCACCAGTCTTAAGGCCTGTTCACATCAGATTAATTTCAATTCAGTTCACTTTACTTCATTCAGTTCAGCTCCAATCAGTTCAGTTCAGTTCAGTTCAACTCCTTTCTCTCATAAATTATTCAGTTCAATTTAGTTCAGCTCAATTCAATAAACGTGAACATGTCCTTAGTCAACCAAATGCAATCCAGTTCAATAAAACTGTACTATATAGCTTACGAAGTGCCACGAAAAGCTATGCCAATTGTTTCATAGTCATCATAGTAATCATTAATGGAAAGAAATTTGTAAAATCATGACTCCAAATCAAACTGATCACATCACAATTCACAACAAATCGATCAAATCTAATTTTCTACTAAAATTGTTTGCATAATAATATTCAATTATTATTAATAAAATAAAACTCCATATCAATTTTGATCACATTTTGCTTAAGTAAATCTCATCATTCCTTCTAAAATTGCAATAAATGTTCAATCAAGATAATTGAAAAAGGAAAAATCGTTCAGAGATGGAAATTATAATCAAAATTCATTATTTCTATCTACACAATTAATAACAAATCCCCTAAAAATGGAAAAGCCTTCATAACAATAGTTAATAAGTACAATCATATTGTCCTTCAAAAAAAAAAAAAAAGTACAATCATGTTGAGTTATTGACTTTTTGATTGACTTTTTTTTTTTTTTTTTTTTCACCCATATATTTCAATTTTAAAACTATTTTACCGTGAATCCGTGATACAGTGATAATAAAAAGGGTATCAGGATTAGCTCCTATAAAAAAAAAAAATTCTCCATAAAATTCATTGTGGTATATTTTTGTTATTTAAATTACATCTACTTTGTACTAGAAAATTTTAATTGTTCTTACATGTTATTACTAATCAACTTGATTTACAAACCGTTAATGATGACCTATTCAATGTCAAAGAGTAGTTGCATCACATTGTATGTCATAATCTTGTTCAAATATCAGCTAAACTAATTGTTGAAAATTGCACCAAATAGATTATTATATAAAGAAACATAATCCGAAACTCAAAACACTATCACGGAAACAACTTTTGCTACCTTATATAAACACCATCCAACCTAAAAACTAGCTATTTGGCATATTTCACTACTATCATTATGTTCTTTATCATCCAAACTTTTTATACAACTTACATTTTAACAACTATTATTCTTAATCGCCGCCGTAACACTTTCAATCACTTTTGTTCGAGAATGATGACAAACTAATAGTCTTCACTGCTGTTATACAATTATAAGTACAATGACATCCTATGCACAACTTTCTTGATCTTACCAACTCATAATAATATATCCAATTAAATAAATTACCCATGAAATTAATTAATCTATTATAAATTAATTTTAATTAATTTTGTGAGATGTCGAAATCATTTGTAATAATAATATAAAATTAACCCACAACTTCTATAAAAATCAAGTCAACGAATTTGATAGAAACATTCACTCCACCTCTTTTCATGTAACATATATTATATCCCAATTATTATAATTAAATTTTTAATATAAGGTAGAAAAATTAATTAAAAGCTTACAACTTTGCTTAAATCTCACAAGTCAAATGTATATCATGCTTGGATAATCTTCAAAGGACATTTTACAAAATTAATATTATTCTTTTCATTCAATCAATTTATTTTTTCTTCCATATTCCTCTACACTCTGTCACAACCAATGAGCAATATTACTTATAAAAATCAATTAGCATTACAAAACAAAAAATTAATGCTCATAATCTTCTTGCAAGAAACATAATGCAGATTTCTTGACTGAACCTTAGAAATTTCCCCTGTTTTTTTTTCCTTCTTCTTCATCTTCCTGTTCTCTGAACATAAAAATGTCGAATTCGAATCGAAAATGTTTCTCCTTCATACCTTCATCATTTGTATCAATTTACATGATTACTGCTTTCTTTACAATCTCCTTTTTGTCTCTGCTTTATCTAAAGTACCCTCAACAATATATTAATCATTTTGAATACCTTAGGATTGTTAACCTTACTCCAACGACGAAAGAAGCAACAACTCCGTTGTCGGTCAACGATTTCACAACCCCTTCTGTTAGTTTACTGAAGGAGGAGATTGTTGTCAACCCAGAATCAAATCCAGCAACTGCGCCGTTGCTGTCGGATTCCCAATTTCCACCGGATTCTGTTGTCGAAAATCCGGCTCCAAATTCGACATTTGGGCAGGAAGAGAAGGATGATCAGGTTCAACCACCAACTATTGTTGAGATTCCGTCCTCTCTAAATCCGACACCAGAAGTAGTGCAGGATAAGAAAGATGAACAGATTTCACCATCTCCTGTAGTCGAAATTCCGTCTCAGAATTTGACAGCAGAGGAAGTGCAGGAAGAGAAAAAAATCGAAAAGATTTCAGAAACTCCAGTTGTTGATTCACCTTTGAATGATGCTCCTGTCAATTCATCAGTGTCACCAGAAGCATCAGTCGTCGAGGAAGCAAAAATCGAAAAAAATGATCAAACGCAGTCTGCATCTCCACCTGAAGCCGTCATTCAGACAGAGAAAAAACAGGAAGAGGCAGAAGAAGATGAGGACGACGAATCAATTGTCGCGTCAATTGACCAATATGATCATCTTTCAAATCCTCCTTACAGTAATTCATCCGAGGAAAGGATGCAGTGGATCAAGTTAAGGCTTCCAGGTTCTAAAGTACTCGAGTCAACACCAAAGACGCGAATGTTTGAGGAAAAGTTACAGCATTACATCAGTGAAAAAAGATGCAGGGTGAATATCTTTATGACATGGATATCGTCAGCCAAGTTTTTTGGCAAGCGCGAAATGTTTTCCTTAGAGAGTGTTGTTAAGGCACACCCTGGAGGTTGTGTCTTCATAGTCTCCAGGATAATGGCCTCGAAACCAGGTAGAGAAATGATTCAACCATTGATAGAGCGCGGGCACTTAATCCTGCCAATAGCCCCGGATTTTAACCTTCTGTTTAGTGGAACACCGGCTAATGATTGGCTCCGAAGGCTCAAGGATGGCAAGATGGACCCAGGGAAGATCCCTATTGCTCAAAATTTGTCAAATCTTTTAAGGCTCGTAATCTTGTACAAGTACGGAGGGGTGTATCTTGACACCGATATGATAATACTAAAGGATGTTTCAGGCTTAAGGAATACTATTGGAGTACAAGAATTAGATGAGAAAAAGAAGGTGTGGGTTTCAGTAAACAACGCGGTATTGATCTTTGATAAGCAACATCCTTTGTTGCTAAGGTTCTTGGAAGAGTTCAACTCGACTTTTGACGGGAGTTTATGGGGCCATAATGGACCATACATGGCTACACGAGTTATAAAAAGCACAGTAGATGATTCGCGGTATCAGTTCAATATGATGTCTCCTATGGCATTTTATCCTGTTGATTGGTACAAGATTTACAAGTTGTTTCGAAACTCCACTGGTAAACGTGATTCAGAATGGGTTACAAACACGTACAACAAGATTATTAGGGAGTCTTATGGTGTTCATCTTTGGAATAAAATGACTCGAAATTTGAAGATCGAAAAAGATGGTGCTATTGGGAAAATTATCTCAACTTATTGCATCATTTGTAACCAAGTTTATAGTTCATGAGATTTGATCAATGCTCGCAAATTTGACATTTTTCGATCTTACAGTCAAATTAGTTGTAATAATTCCATTTGTTACACATTTTTTTAGATTCTTTTTTTCCCTTGGATGTTTCAGGATTAATGATATACATTCACATCTTTATAATTATACAGAGAATTATCCTAATTTCGATTTTCTCTTTCATTTTTCGGTCTTGATTATTCGAAGCTTCATACTATCTGTAAACTGTTTGATTTCGTACTAGTTGTATAATGTTTTTGTACATATTCGATCAGATAATACAAAATTTTCATGATTTATTCCAAGAAGAATCTATATTGTTAATTACTCTGTTATTTTTTAAACCTTAACTAAACTGATATAACGTCTTAATCTAATTTAATTAAATAATTTTCATGTATAAGCGCCAACCTTATTCTTGGAATCTTCTTAATGTATTCTTCCAAAAATATATTTTGATGCATGTGACATGGTTCGAACAATTACAAGACCGTTGATTTAATTAATATTGATTTTCTTAACTTCTTATATGAACATTAACCAGTGTCAGATTATTTATATTCAGCAAACAACAAAAGAAAAAATATTATATAATTTTTACCTTTTTTTTTTTTTTTTTTAATTAATTACCATGATAATTAACATATTTTGGTAAAGATAGAACTTTTCCTAATAAGTGCACTATAGATATGATCTTTTCCATAAACGTCTATTTCTTTCTATATCAACAGATAACGAAGATTTTTTTTAATTAATTTGTTATCACATTGATACGTTTACAACATTTCTAATTAGATAATGGTTTGCTGGCAATGGGCTCCCATGGTGTCGTGCTGCCTATCTAAGGCACAACACAACCTAGTAGTCGTCTTTTGTGTTTTAAAACATGTCACAAGTGTCTATTGTACCTAATTAAGTCGTGTCATGTTAGTCTTTGCAAATTCCCTAAACTCCTACTTTATCACGGAATTTAGCCTACGGATCACGGATGGGACTCCTAAGTGCTGGTCCGCGGCCCCATTACCATCCCTAGTCCAAGCAAAGTTCCTTAGCTTGATAAAGCTAAGACCTTACACAATTTTCTTCTTAATTCTTATTGACCATAAATTCAGTCCACTGCTAAAAGTTGTAAAGCATGTGTTGCACAGGATGTACTACAACAATTATTTATATTTACATCTTTCATAATAATAAAAGTATAATATTAATCAATATCATATTATATATTTCCTTTCTCCTAGTTTAATTATAACTAGATTAGGGAGTATAAATATAATATAATATAAAGTTAAACAGTAAACATTATGCGTGTGTGCCATAACTGGAGCATCACATGGCCTAGTTATCATATCTGTATTTCTCAGCTTATGAGCTGCAGACGTTGTGCTCAATGTCATGCAACTTGTAACTCAAGCATTATTAATTAATTAGATGGCTAACCACCGAATCTCGTAATTAAACTATTGTTTATTAGTGTTAATTTGGTTTTAATTACTAATTAGCAGCTTCAAGATCAAGTCAACTAAACACTTTGATTTGTTATTAGTTGGGATGATTACTGCACATTAATTTTTTGATTAAGAAAATTATTGTTGTAACATAGCCATAAGACATGTAACATACAACGTAATATACTTCTTCAATAACATGAATAATAATCATCTCTAAACAAAAGAAAATCTGAATTATTATTTCGTACAAAACCCCAATATACTCTTTACTAAAAGCTTATATTTTAATAATTGATTAAGGTATAAACATCAATTTTTTATTTTGATGAGTAGGTATAAACATCTTTAGTTACAATAATCCAAATGATTTTAAAAGCCGGTAATGATATATGTAGTCTTTAGGTTACTTATAAGCATTTAATATTTTTGTAAAAACTTATAACAAAATTACAGGCAAATAAGTGTAATTAGTATTATAACTTCATTTTGCATCAAAACAAACAAAAAAAAAATAATAATAAAATAAAAATAAAAATAAAAATAAAAATAAAATCATTTGATTACAATCATTTGATTAAAAATAAAAATAAATTCTCAAACTCACATAAAAATAGAGACTAAATATATCATCAAAAGTTAATTATATGAGGGGAAATTACATAATTAGCCACTAAACCTTACAATTGTTCCCACAAAAACAAATGTTATTTTGTGTAAAGTACAGACTTTTAAGCACTTGTCAAGGGATAAGCAAAAAAGTTCCGATGCCGGGAATCGAACCCGGGTCTCCTGGGTGAAAGCCAGATATCCTAACCGCTGGACGACATCGGATTTGTTTATATAATATAAGTTGTCCTATAAAACAATAACTAAAACTATTAACTTATATAAACTGCATTTCTTTCATTATTATATTATAAGCCCATTTGGACAATTTAATAATAAAAAAAAAGTAGGTCTCAAAAAATGTAAAAGTATCTAGCTAAGCCCATTCTGTCATAATTACCTCTCTATTATATTCTTGCTTTAGAATTTATTTATCAAAAGTGTAGGAAATTAAATTAATTTAATTAAACTTTGAGTGATTGATCAACCAAATGTAGAAAGTATCATGGTTAGACTAGGAATTGGCGACAAATAAAAGTAGAAACATAAGGTTTTTTCTTTTTTTTTTTTTTTTTTTTTTTACGAAAGTAGAAACATAACATAGGTAGTAACAATATTTTTGAAAGGAATTTTTTTTTTGTAGTATTGCAAACACTATATATACCATAGACGTAATACTTGCGTTTAATATTCCACTTTGAAAGGAGGGGTGGATGAGATTCGAACTCATGATCTTTATGTTACACTACCTCTTGATACCATGTAGAATTAGGAAGCTTAATGATTTCCATCGAGATTTAGAGAGCCTTAAGCGTAATAGCTAAGTATCTAGACGATATTAACAAGATAAAAGATACTCATACACTAACTATGCTTTTAGTAGAACTGTCAATTCGTGTAAACCGGTCGGGCTTGGGTCGGGTAAGAGTGGGTCGAGTTAACTCGGGTTGGGTCAATTCAGATGAATTCCATAACCTATGCGGGTCAGGTTTGGGTTGGGTAATGCTTGAGTCGGGTCATACTTCTTATCGGGTTTAGGTCGGGTTAATAACAGGTCGGGTTACATTCGGGTCGGGTGAACAATAGGTCGGGTTTAATTGGGTTTTCATGGGTTAAAACGGGTTAGGATAATTTTTCGAGTCGGACTCGGTTCAAGACAATAATTTGCGGGTTGGAATCAGGTAGGGTCATTTTCGGGTTTGAGTCAGGTTCGGTTCAATTCAATAATTTGCGGATTATAATCAAGTCGGGTCGTTCTCGGGTTTAAGTCGGGTTCGGTTCAAGTCAATAATTTGCGGGTTATAATCAGGTTGGGTCATTTCCAAGTCGGGTCATTATCGGATTCAAGTCGGGTTATGTTCAAGCCAATAATTTGCAGGTTACAATCAGGTCGGGTCATTTCCAAATCAGGTCATATTCAGGTTCAACTAACTATAATATAGATAATTATCATTTTTATCAAGCTAATTATTTCCTTTGACTATAATATATATGACAATATACTAGGGAACTATAGTCTATAATTTAGGAAGATAATTATATCCTTTGACCATATAACAAATATATATTATATTTAACTCTTAAATTTGAGGATGATGCTCTTTTCTTTTGCTGGCCTTAGTCTCCCAAGACAAAATGCTTTGATTAACAATAATAATGTGGTCTAAATTTCATTTAAGATGATTTGAAATCGGGTCAGGAACAATTTAGGTTGAATTTAGGTCGGGTCAATAACAAGTCGTGTTGATTTCGAGTCGGGTTAATAACAGACCGGGTTGAATTTTTGGGCCGGGTTAGTAATAGGTCTGGTAGAATTCGGGTTGGGTCAATAACAAGTCAGGTTGAATTTGGGTCAGGTCAATAACAAGAAGGGTTGATTTCGGATCGAGTTTGTAACAGGTTGGATTAAATTCGGGTTAGGTTGAATTCAGGGTCAGGTTAGTAACAAGTCGAGTTAAATTCGGGTTTTGACAGGTTAAAACGGGTTTGGGTCAATTTCGGTTCAAGTCGGGTTTAGTGCAAGTTAATTAAATTGGCCACTGTGAACCGGTAAATCGGTGAAAGTTGTAAACCGGTAAATTGGTCGTTTATAAGCAAATTGAATGGTTCCACACACCCAATTGGACTCTCGGAGGGTATTAGGGACCACGGTAAAAATTTCGGCAATTTTTATTTTCTGGCGAAAAAAAAGTAAAAAAAATTCCAAAATTGAAGGCTAATATCCACGCTTTTGAGAAATTTTGGATATTTGGGGCCCAGTGTCGAAAAGTCTTGAAATTCTATGTGATACATCTCGGGGTCATATAATGTCGTTTGAAACCATATATGATCATTATTTGTTGTCATACGTGGTAGGCTTGAATTCATGAAATCGACGCAAGTTGTAAACCGGTAGATTGGTCGTTTAAAGGCAAATTGGATGGTTTCACCCACCCAATTGGACTCCCGAAGGAGATTAGGAACCATGGTAAACATTTCGGCAATTTTTATTTCCGGGAAAAAATAAATCAAAAAATTCCAAAATTAAAGGCTAATATCCACACTTTTTGAGAAATATTGGAGCTTTCGAGGCCCGGAGTAGAAAAGTATTAATATTTTAGGAGATACATCTCAGGATCATATAATGTTGTTTGGAACCATATATGATCATTATTTGTTGTCATAAATGTTCATGGTAGGCTTGAGTTAATGAAATCGGTGCAAGTTGTAAACCGGTAAATTAGCCGTTTATATGCAAATTGAATGGTTCCACACACCCAATTGGAATCTCGGAAGGTACTAGGGTCCATGGTAAACATTTCGACAAATTTTATTTGCGGGCGAAAAAAAGTCAAAAAATTCCAAAATTGAAGGCTAATATCCACGCTTTTTGAGAAATTTAAGAGGTTTTGAGGCCCGATGTCGAAAAGTATTAAAATGCTAGGAAATACATCTCGGGGTTATATAATACCATTAAGAACCATTTATGAACAATATAAGTTGTCATAAATGTTCATGGTAGGCTTGAATCAATTAAATCAGTGCAAATTGTTAACCGATATATTAGCCGTTTAAAGACAAATTGGATAGTTCCACCCACCCAATTGGAAGCATGGAAGGTATTAGGGACCATGGTAAACATTTCAGACATTTTTTTTATT